CCTTCCCCCAGCCTGCGGCTGGCACCCGGACCAGCGCAGGCTCATCACCACCACCCGGCACCCCCGAGGCTTCGTCTTTGTGCACATCTTGTGCTGCTCATGAAGACCCCGACACCATTAGAGGAGGCTGGGGAACCGTCTGTCTTCTGGGGGGAAAAGCAGCCATCTGGAGAGAGGAGCAGGCTCAGGGCTCAGCTCAGACCTGCTCATTCCCCGGGGACCTCGACCCGAGCCAGCAGAGCAATTATTTGGGGCAGGGAGGCGGAAACAACCCCAGGGGCATTCACGTGGAGCTGTTTGTTACCAGCCGAGTCTTCACCTCACAGCCCTCAGCCCATAGATCCTGCTTAGGCTGGTGGTTGGTGAGGACAATCCTCCCTGCCCATGAGATGACACCTCAGCAGCACAGCACCAGCCCCTGGGCAAACCCCAGGGGAACGCTGAGCCAGAGAACACAGATGAGCCTCCAAGGGGGCTTGTGAGCTGGGGACATGCTGCACCCCCCGACAGCCCTGTGCTCTCCGTGGGATGAGCATCCCATGGTGCAGCCCCTCACCAAGTCACACAAGACAAACAGCTGGGTAGGGGCAGGAACCAACGCGAGCCATGAAACCCATCCACGCGCTCAGCCAGGAGAGCCTTTCCCTCCAGGCAGCCCCAGGACACACACTCCGCAGCCGGCTCTGTGCCCAGCGCTCCAGTTTCTCTTCCTCATTCACCAGTTCTCCCCTGGGGGTTTCACACCGACGCAGGAAGTTGTTTCGAAGATGTCAGGTTGGCTGAGAAATAAAAGCTGGTTTTGCCATTACTTGTGATGCGAGCCCAGGGAAGCCCCTGCTCACAGCACGGTGAGGGCAGCAAGCAGCATAGGCTGGGCTTACAGCAGCTCGGCCTGGACAGCAGAGCTCCTGCCACCAAAGGCTAAGGGATAATAAAGCAAATCCATCTTCGTGTGCTGGGCAGAGTTCCTGCCCTCTGTGCAAGCCCCAGGAAACCTCCCCGGGGGAGGATGCACCAAGCATAGGCGCAGATCTGGGTTCCTCCTGCCCCAGCTTAGACCCACAGGTCCCATCTGGTTCTCCAACAACCTCCTCTCCAGAGCCAAGCAAGGCCAATGCCACCACAAGGCTCACCACCACCGGGTGCCAGCCAGAGGTCAGCCTGACCCATGACATGGTGGGAACCCACCAGCCGGATGAAAAGCCACTTCCCTTCTTGTCCCGCTGAGCAGACACCTTCCCATTTCCATACCTGCCCTTGAAAACAGCAGGGCTAAACTGTGCTCTGCCTTGTGCGCAGCACGAGGGAGATGGAGCTGAGCAGGAAACACCTCAAACTGCACTCAGAGAGGCGAGCGGGGTCTGTTAAACTTGTACCAACCTGCACTGGATTTTATATTCCTGCAGAGGTTTCCCGAAGACACCCTGCAAAGCAGCCACGTGAATGTCAGCAGGGACAAAGTAACCCACACCAGAACAGCAACAGGTTTCACTGTAAGCGTATGTATATAAAACTACTGACTAGAGGTGTTAGCAGCAACCAGCATCCCACTCCCCGGCCCCATTCCCTCCTCAGCTCAGCTCTGTGTTGGCTGAGCCACTGCTGGTTTCGTGTTTTCAGCACCTTCTCCAGAGTTCAAGGAACTCTATAAGTAGAGGGAAACAGCAATTTAAATGGCAAATAGTGCACTTTTAAGACAGTAAGGGAAGTTTATTCTCAAGTTTTCCATGGCCACATCTAAAATTACAAATAAAACACTCTGGCTGTGCCAAGGGAAATGCTGGCTTAGGAACATCTGTCCAGGCAGAGGGGTTTTTTTTCCACAGAAAAGGGAAGTCATACATTAAGCAAGTTTGCAGAAACTCCAGCAGCAGTTAGCTTGCTCGCTCACAAGCCCAGCTTTCTTTTCCACAGCAAGGACACCTCCAAGAGATGATGACTCACCTCGAAACCACAAGCATCCAAGTAGTTCTCACTGTGAAGACTGAGGTGCACCATGGCTTCAGATCAGACAGCCTGGTTTCCTTGCTGTGGAACTTGTCCCCTTTCACTGTGCCAGAGCCGGGGCTCAGCAAGTGAAGACCAAGCTTGACAGGAGCAGCACACCCTGGATCCAACCCAGGCTGAGTTACTGCACCGGAACAGAGACTGCTTTGAGAGCAGAGCGCCTCCAACACCACCATGAGCCACAGCACCCTTCCCATGAGGGGAGGGAGGCTCAGGAGGAGCAGGCAGGCGAAGGAATTCCCTGTAAAGCGTTTGGAGATGCAAAGGTGTGGGAAGAAGCCCACATGAAAGTGATGAGGTTCTCAAGCCTCAGGATCACAGAATGGTTTGGGTTGGAAGGGACCTTTAAGCGCATCCAGCTCCAACCCCTGCCACGGTCAGGGACACCTTCCACTAGAGCAGGTTGCTCCAAGCCCCTGTGTCCAACCTGACCTTGAACACTGCCAGGGATGGGGCAGCCACAGCTTCTCTGGGCACCCTGTGCCAGCGCCTCAGCACCCTCACAGGGAAGAGCTGAGGGGAGACTTTGTCCAAGAGCCCAGGATGTCAGACCAGGGCCTGCCAGCTTCGCGTCACGTGTCACACACATCATGTATAAACTATTCGTATTTGCCATGTAACTCTGGTAAGAATCCTGAAGTTTTAAACTAATTCTGATAAATAACCATCACTTAAGCCTGACCACAAGTATTCCTGCACAAACATTTCACCAGCTCCAGATGAGCTCACTCGTTTCCAAGAGCCCACAACTGCAACCGAGGAGGCAGAGCTGGATGAGCTGTAGCTGCCTCGACACAAGCCTGACCCACAGCACACTGCACCGTGAAGAGACTGGGACAGTGCAAGACTGATTCACAACTGAACAAGTGCTGCACTGTGCAAGGGCTGACCTCACTACTGCACAGGAGCAATTCTCACAGTGCCATCTCTCCCTCAAGCTGTGGAAGCCACAGCTGTTTTAACCACAAGCACACAGAACCCACCAATCTCAAACTGCACTTCTCCAGTACTGTATGGCCATGAATCTTGGTCTAAAATTTTGCCACATCTAAGGAAGCGGCAGGAACTGGAGCTGTTTCAAAGCCTGGAGAGTTAGAACATCAGCAAACATGGATCCAGGCACTTATTCCAGGCGATGGCAGCACATTCCATGGAAGCAAACATCAGTGCCTGACTAAGAAGTAAGGAGTCACTTTCTTAAATAACCCTGGAAGTATAAATATATAAACAGAGCAGCCAAGGGAGCTGTAATTCCAGTGCATTTAGAAGCTTTCCATGTATAACCAAGAGCACCTCTGCACCAGTACCAACTATCCCAAGCCAAACTAGCAGCCCAGCCCCAAAAGCATGAGCCGTTCATGGATGTAATTAAACTGGAGCCACTCGACTTCTGGGCACACCTCAGTAAGAAACAGACAGTTGAGAAGAGGTTTAAAAGAGAGCTTTAATATCCAAAGGTGCAGCACTGTTCACAGACGACGTCCACGGCGACCACCCTTTCTGCGAGTGCTGTCAGAGGGGATGGGGGTCACATCCTCTGCAGAGAGAAGAAAAACAAAACCATACTGTTACCTTCCAGAGGTACCCCAAGAAGCCACCCAACCCCAGCAGAGCCACCCAACCCCAGCAGCCACCATGTGGCCTGGTTGCAGATGGGTTGTTTTATTTCATTCCAATTATTAAACTGTTCTTATCTCAACCCGTGGGTTTTACCTTCTGATTCTTCCCATCCCACCTGGAGTGGAAGCAAGCGAGCAGTTGTGTGGTATTTAGTTACCATCTGGGCTTAAACCACACCACCTCACAGCTGCACCTCGTGAGTGCAGAGGCCACACACAGGCAGGATGAACACTCTACAGGAGCAAAGCTGTCTCTGAGCTCACCAAGGGCTTTTAATGCTGCAGAAGCAAAAATCCCCCTCTCCCATCACACTTAAACCGAGCAGCCACAGCACTTCCAAAGAAACAGAGGGTGCCTGATGTAAGTTTTCGAGCAGCCAACACCAGTGCTTCTCGCAACTCCCCAAACCAGCCTGGGACTCCTCCTGAGCAGTTGGAAGAACTCCACTATTAGTTACTCAGAGTATTAAACTGAGACCAGCGCAGGATCTCCAGGCGACTGAACAGCTCTGGCACAAGCACTGTTCGAGCAGAGGACCATCAGCACCCTGCTGTGCAGCTGGGGTTGATCCTGCAGACAGAAACTTGTTCCTGAAGTCTGCTCACGCCGCCTCCTGGTGAATCATATACTTAAGAATCTGTTTAAATTAAATCACACCTTCAGTGCCATCTGACAGAGGCCAGGAAGAACATCCCACAGTTAAATCATCCTAGTGAGTGGCACATGTGCCTGCAAAGCTTCTTTTACTAAATAATCCCTCAAAACTGGGGGGGTTTGAAGTAGCTCTGCAGCAATATAGCATGAGGGACACATCTAGCTATTGCTTTCTCCATCACTCACCAATGCGGCCAATCTTCATTCCAGATCGGGCCAGAGCTCTCAGGGCTGACTGGGCACCAGGTCCCGGAGTCTTGGTCCTGGAGGACAGAATCAGACCCAACAACCCCTTAAACGATTCAGAAGTTGAACACAGTTCAACAAACAGCTGAGAGTGTTAAAATCAATTTCCCCATCCCAAAACATCCAAGTCCCAGACCCAAGCCATTCGCAACCAGCCACCAGACAGGCCCTTCAGTGTCATTCCAAGGTAACACATCTCCAAGCACCTCCCCATCTACTACCAGGTAAGTAAGAGCACACCTTCGAGCCAGTCAACTGGGGATGCCAGTCACCACACAAAGCAACAGACACCCTTCAGGTCAAGCCTGAAGTCACGCTCACAGAGTGCGGCCACGTTACCAACTGAGGCAGCACAAAGAAGGGCTGTGGTGCTACTGTGGCATGGTTCTAAGAGCATGCCACATCCTCTGGGAATGCCAGGCGCAGCCAACGTACCTATTCCCACCGGTAGCACGCAGCTTGATGTGCAGGGCAGTGATACCCAGCTCCTTGCACCTCTGGGCAACATCCTGGGCTGCCAGCATCGCCGCGTAGGGAGAAGACTCATCTCTGTCTGCCTTCACCTTCATGCCACCAGTCACCCGGCAGATGGTTTACCTACAAAAGGCAATGGTGAAGTTTGGAAGGAAGCCCTTCCTTTTTCCTCCCCACAAACCAGCCTCTGGTCTACAGACAGAACCTGTTACTTGGAATGCTACTAGATCAACAAGCACCTTGAACACAACATCATCACAGAGGAGCACACCAAGCTGCCTGCTCTATGTCCTCGTACACACACCATCACATCCCGCAGCCCAGCAGAAGCTCAAAAGGGCTTTGGTGGAGCCTCAACCCAAACCTCATTTCTGTGTTCAAAGGTGAAGGACTGCAGCAAGGCCACGGGTGGTCAGTACTCACTTGCCAGAGAGGTCAGTCACGTGGACAAAAGTGTCATTGAAGGAAGCAAAGATGTGGCAGACGCCGAACACGTTTTCTCCCTCAGCAACCTGAGGTCCCAAGCTGATGACCTGTTCTTCCTTCTTCTCCTTGCCCTTACGAGGTGCCATTTCTGAACAACAACAGAAGTATGAGTGATGATGGATTTCTCAGCATTCTCCTATGGGACTTTATGAAATTCCCTGCTACTCTGTCCCTTTACCAAGCAAGACATGTTACCACTGGCAAACTGCAGGGAGCAATCTGGGGCACAAGTGGACTCCTTATAAACCCCAAGGTTCCCAGCTTTGCTCTATGCTGCCAGACAAGTCACCACCCACAGCTGCTTCACAGCATCTCTCCTGCTGCGCTTCAAGGCAGGAGCTACCTAGGCTGTGATTCATAGCAGCCAGTATCCCCCGAGCATGAGGGAGCCCCTTTCCCTGGTAACCAGCACTGCTGAGAGCTTCCCTTTGCTTGTTTATGACTTTCTGGAAACGAAACACCTAACCAAACAATTACTGAACACCAGGGTACTGTTGCAAAGCTCTGACTCTGCAGACCTTTCTAGTGCTACCTCGGGTTCCTTGGTCAGACAGCTTAAACCTGGAATGGGAAGATGGTTCCCTATTGCCCTCTCCTGCCAAAGACCAGCTACAGCCGGCACCTTGCACAAGAGAGAAGCCTAATGACTTCGTTAAGGAAATCAGTCCAAGCACGATTTTTCCCCGACGGTCCTCCCTCCACAGAAAGCTGCGCACCAGCTGTTAAACCAAGGCACACTCAGGCACGCAGAGAGCCGCATCCCCTTCCCTCAGCCAGCACACGGCTCCATGGACGTTACAGCCCCCAACCGGGGCCCGGGAAGCCG